TGATTGAATTTGATGTAAGTGAATGCTCAAACTTGACATCATTGCCAAATGAAGTGGGCAACCTCACATCTTTGACTACCTTGAATATGTGAGGGTGCTCAAGCTTGACATCATTGCCAAATGAATTGGACAACCTCACATCTTTGACTACCTTATAAAGGAGAAGGTATTTAAATTTCACATCATTACTTAATGAATTCGGCAACCTCACATCTTTGATTTTTTTATATTTAAGTCAAAACTTAAGCTTGACATCATTGCCAAATGAATTAGAAAAGCTTATATCTTTGACTATTTTATAAATGAGGGTACTCAAGCTTGAGATCATTGCCTAATGAATTAGGCAACTTCAAATTTTTAACTACTTTGATATAAATGAAGGTTTAAGTTTGACATCTTTGCCAAATGAATTAGGTAACTTCACATCTTTGACTACTTTTATTATGAAGAGGTATTTAAGGTTAACATCATTGCTAAATGAATTGAAAAAGCTTGCATCTTTAACTTCTTTACATATGAATTAGTGTCTTAGCTTGAGTTGCATTGATACATGGTTTCTTGAGTTGTAGAACAATTACTAAATTGAAACTGTACTTTATTGTTGTTGAAGCAAGTACCAATGTCACCAAAGTACTCAACAAAGGTTATTGTACCTTACCTAATTTTTCCAAAAAATAAACAATTGTATCAATTGAATTGAACTAAAGAATATTTTGGTAAGAGTGTGGTAAATTGGATGGATTATAGCAAAAGGATATGTACATGAGATTAGTTTTTGCAAAGTTGAGTGACTATTATTTTGAAGTATTTTCTTCTTCAATATTTTTTTATTATATTAAGTTGTTATATTGATAGTAAATTAAAAATATATTGTATTGATTATGAAATGAAAGTTTTTTGTATTAAAAGAAAATAGAAAATTAAATGAAAGATTTTTGAATATTTTATTTTAAATATATCTAATATTAGGTTATATAATTATTTATAAGTTATAAATTATTGGTTTTAGAATACTTAATTAGTTGTAGATGTAATTCTTTGTTGTAAAAGCATTTGTATTCTTTGATAGGAGAATTTATTTTTATTTTGATGGTTGAATAATGTAGAGAAATAAATATAGATATAGATTTAGAAAGAATTTTAAATTGGTGTAGAAAGTGATACTTTCATTATCTATATTATATATATATATATATATATATATATATATATATAAAATTAATTAAAAATTATGAAAATTTAATAATGAATCAATATGATGAATATTAGTAAATCTAATTAATGTATATATATTTTTTTATTTAATATATGTACTATATGAAATTTATAAGTTTAAATTTAATATAGAAGAAATATGTAAAAATATATGTAAAATTGAATGAAATAGAAAAATAAGTTCTATTTATAATATAATTGATAAAATATTGAAATTTTAAAGAATATAGGGTAGTTAAAAGTTATTATTATAAAAATTTGCAACAATAATTTTTATTTTAGTTGATTAGTTATACAAAAGATATAATTTTGGTTGGATATTTTTTATAGCTTGATTTGGCTTTTATATTCAATTTATAGTCTATAGATAGATTTAAAGAACTTCATGTTATGATTTTGTCTTGTCATTGTAAATTTCTTGAAGCATGTTTACATTTGAAAGATTATTTTATTTGTATGTCAAAGTTTGTGAGATAAATTTTTGTGAGGATAAATTTCAATTAAGAGTTACTTGTGATTGGTGGTATGAAGTGAAGGAAGCATGTAACAAGAACAAAAGAAGAAAAAATACAAAAAAAATGAAATAAATAAAATCAAGTAATTACACACATTTAAACTTAGTCATAGTCTATTCACTAAATTTTTATTTAGTAAAAAATATAAGAATAAAATATAAAATATATTTTTAGAAAGATAATTTTTTCTAATAATATAAAAAATATAAAAATTTGAGTTAAAAATAAGTTATGAAGATGTAAAGATAGCAAATAAATATATGAAAAGATAAGTGAAAATATTTTACTTCAAAAATAACTTGCTTATAGATCAAGGATTCGAGCCTCTCCAAGGCTCACATGTAATATATTTGGATTGCTAAAAGAGGCCACAAGGCCTTAGACTTATCTTCCTAACTACATTGAAGGTGTTACAATCCATATAGAACTTGTGCACCTTCTTTCCTACAAGAACTAGACTAGTTGCTAGTCATTATATTTTTTATTAGTAAAACTAATATTTTTTGCATTTTTGACTCTATCATGGTATTTAAAAATATCTGATTAGTCTAAAAACCCTGTATGGCCTTCAAATCTTGCTCCATTTCTTCTATTTTCTTTTAATAAAAAATTCAAAAAGTTTATATTCAATAACTTCCAATGTATTAAAACTCAATTTTACCAAAATCTTGAAATTTTCTCTAAAAATTCTTATAAATTCTAAAAAACATTTTAAAAAGTTCTAAATTTACTATAATTGTTTTATTATATCAATATCAAATTAAAGCTATATTTTTTATTTTGGTGATTTTATAAAGTAATAATATCAATTTAGATTAACTAAAAATCTTATTTTAAATATAAATAATTAAAAAGACATAAAATTCTTTTTATGCTTATTTTAACTATTAATTAATATTTAGAGGATTTTAATAAGTAATATATGTAGATAGAAGACCAATATAGAAGTTGGTCTTAATAAATAATCCTTTATACTCAACAATAAGCAAAAATATTAAATCAACTAAGGTAATAACCTCCAAGACTTATTAAGACTCTATTTTTATAGTTTTTTTTTTCTAATAAGACTCTTATATTTTATAAATATTACTAAATTATAATAATAAAAAATATTAAAAATATTTTTTAATAATAATATTTTTATATTTAAATAACTAAAATCTATATTATTAACAACTCTATCAATTAAGATCTATTAATAGAACTTATATTATTTTAGATAGAAGTTATTTAAGATCTAAGAACTAAAAATAGTTATATTTATATTAAATTTTTAGATTAAAATCTAATTATTAAAATATATAAAGAAATTAATAATTATTTTTAGAATTATTTAAGATTAATGGATTAGTTTTAGAATTATAAATTCAATTTTTAGGAAAAAAAATTGTGTGGTTTTGTACAACAATGATTTTAAAAGAATTTTTGATAAATATTCTTAAAATAAAAAATATATATAATATATACTTATCTATAAGTGGTGAAAAGATAGAATTCAATTTTTTTTATATAATTTATTATAGGATATTTTTTAAATAAATTAAAACAATGTATATGTTCATGGTTTAGAGCAATTTACATAGCCTTATTATGTCAAGATCTTTAAGTACTATAAAAGAATATTTTAAAAATCAAGTATGCACGGTATTTGTAGAATTATTTAAAAAAAGATCTAAAGTCTATAAAAGAATATTTATGATTTTATTGAAAATAAAATACTTGTTGAGTAGAAACCAATGTGCTAATTTTTACAAGAAAATTGAACATGTGACAAAAGATTTGTCTACTCAATGACTTGTGTCAATAATGGACTGGAATTTAGGCTTTTAATCTATCAATTACTTAGAAATACATATAAAGTCAAATCCATGTCTATGAAGCATTTAAAAAGCTTCTCCATAAGATATTATCAAATTTACTTATTTCTACTTATTTCTATCTAATTCCTTTAATGTAAGTAAATATGTATGTCCATGATAATATGTCACTATCAAAAAGAAATTAAGACTTATTGTTCAATGAATCTAAGATTTGAATTCTATTACTTTAAATGGAATTAGGTCTAAAATTCAATTAGTCAAAAATTTCTATCATAACTTAATTATGATTTGGAAAGAATTTTTTATTTAACTTGAATCATCACCAAATTTTTATGTTTCTTATTGAACATTGATTTGCAAGTACTAACCCTTGTATTGAACTTGACAAGTTGTAGTTAGAAATCATATTTAGAAGAATTATGCACTAACTATTAATATTAGTTGCATTGGATGCAACTGAACTTTAGTAGAGTAGTTATGAGAACTTAACTTATATTAAAAAATATCAGAGATAGAACAATAATTTGGAAAATTATTTGTATTCACAATGAATTCAAATACAACTTTGAAATAAACAACAACAATCACCTTAGTTCTAATAGTGCTAATATTGTGACCAAGCTAGTTGTTATTTTGCAATCTGTATTACTAACATATTGAATTATTGTTGCACATGTACAGGTGGTGTACTCTTCTAGCAAAGTTAGTGATTTGATTAATAGAAAGACTGTACTGCAAGCTGTGATTCATACTGAGAGGTGAGACACCACAACCTAATATTGGTATTTGTGCACAAAAAATTGCTGGTGAAGTTAGACAAAATTGTAACAGGCACTTCATGGTTGGAGTGTGGATGTGGAAAGTTGATGAATCGTCATTCCTTGATCTTGCCCAAACGGAGGTTTTGAAATGACTGGCACTGTCACGTTTATTGCAAGAGTTGCATGACTTGTGGATGTTAGCACAAGAAAAAGACAATTCAGTTGGTGATATACTTAACATGCCAAGGACATGATAACAGGTTACATATTGGCACGAATTAGAGAAGAAGCGCTGAAACCAACTTTTTTCCTATTGATGATTACACCCTTATCACTGGCCTCGAGCACTGACTTTGAGCTGCAGTCATCGCAACCATATCGCCAGATGTGAGGGACTTCAACACCTTCAAAGTGGCACAAACATGGAATCGGAAGCATCTGCTGTTGAGGAAAGGCTCATGCAAGAAACTGGGGAGCTTCTGACACAAGTATCAGAGGATGAGAAGCCTATTGGACCAAATGTCAACACATCGCCGAGATTGCGGATGACGCTGCGGGTGAGAAGGAGTCACCACTGGGGTTGCCTGTGTCTGGTAACTCACGTCGTCGATTGTGCATTCGAGTTGCCAATTTGGGATTGACCAGCATTGCGGATAATAGATTGTCGAATAGATGGGCGCCGAGACTCCATGATCGTACTGGCCAGGCGCTGTCTCTATCCCGTTCTGACTACAATTTCTAAATCAAAAAAACATTATGACCACCAAGGAGAAGTGTCTTCCTGTACGTCTTCGATCTGAACCCACGTTTTCGCTGCGCTTGAGGAGTATGTAATGCGCTTTGTGGGCTTTGCTTCCCAGTAGCCACCCCGTGTGTCCGGCCAGTGGTTGGAGGTTGTGCGGCGACTGTACCGTGGAGGTTTTGAACATACGTTTAGGTGTTGCTGCATTGCGCCGGTGAGAGATGTTCGGAGCGAATCGATGGCTGCTTTTCTAGTGTGGGTGCGCGCGTAGTAGAGGTTCGTCGAGGTTGCAGATTGCAAGTGACCTTACAATGTCGGTGCTGTGCAGGTTATTTGCGGCTGGTAACTATGGACTCCGCAAATGGATTCGGCGCGAAGCTCCTGGCTGTCATCTTCTTCGTCGTCGCGACGCAATGCACAGGTCAAAGCAGCCCGAACTCTCTTCAAGCTCCGTTCAGCATGAGCATCGACCTCGATCCCAACAATTTACCAGCACCAGGAAACTCGAAGATCGTGTTGGCAACACAGGAGTTCCAGTTATGGTTGGAACTTACCGGCCGCTGCAGTCTAAGCTTGCGGCGCCAATACTCCGCTCCTGTTGCACGCCTCGTGTGGACCGCGAATTACTTTACAGTCTCCCCTGACGGCGCTGACAGATGCACCCTAACGTTCACGAAGGACGGGGACCTTCAGTTGTGGGTGCTATACCGGCAACAAACATTTATGGTGTGGAACAGCAAAACTGGCGGCAAGGGTGTTACCAAAATGGCCCTAGAAACTAACCCTGATAGAGGCGAATTTAAGCTGCTGACACCCCGCAACCAAGCCGTTTTCAGCAGCTTCGCCATCAAGGAATTTGCCATCCTCCCAACACAGAAATTTTGGTACGTAAAATCTTGTTCAATTTGCACAAAAGTTTTCTCTTGAACTTGACAACCCGCGTCGGATAAATGCCACTCAGAATTTACCCAATTTGATAATTGCAGGGCAGGAGAGTTACTGAAGAGTCCGGATACGGTCCAGGAGATACAGGACCAAGATCGTCGCATACTACTCAATAAGGGGCACTACCTTTTGGCGATCAACAATGGCGACCTTCAGCTCCTCTTGAATGGTCCCAAACCCCTGGTTTACTGGAGCCTGAAGAAATCGGGGCTGTTCAAAGGAGACCTCAGCCAAGTTGCAAATGCAGGTACGCAATCGACGACGTGCTGGTCCAATTTCTGAGGCTTTTCAAAACCCAGGTATTTCTGGATTTTGATTACAATCTGGAATTCCTGCGCATTGCAGCTGTGACTGATCCTAGGACGGGAGGAATCGGTCTGTTCACGGCGGCCGGGAAGCTTGTGTGGAGCTCAACTCTCCCGCCTCAAGGATTTTTTGGCGACACCTACTTCGGCATTGATTACTACGGCAACCTCCGGGACTATTACATGTACAAGGGGCAAGTCTGGTTTACAGCATTTCAGGCTCTGGCTGGTGACTGCGATCTTCCCAACTTCTGTGGCGATTACTCCCTTTGCACCAACTCCACGTCTGGGACAACCCAATGCAGGTGTGCAACATATCCCGCGGTTCAGAGTCTCTTCAGAGCCTCTTTCCATTTGCAAATATGTTGCAAAAAAAACCTTCATTATCTAGGACCATTCTGATGAGGGGATAGAGGAAATGACTTGAACCGGATGTTGTGTTGTAGCTGTCCACCTGGATTCCAGAGAATGGCTGGGCGCGAAACCTCTCCGTTTTGCGGGCGAACGGGGACAGTGGCCAAGTGTGCGAGGAAGTCTTTCGTAGAAGTGAAGGGATACGACTCCGTGCTCACCACTTATGCCACCCCGGAGAAGGTGACTCTAGCCTCTTGCAAGACCTCGTGCTTAGCGTCTTGTGACTGCGACGGCTTCTTCTACGATACCAAGACCCAGGCGTGCTTCAAGCAATCATTCTTCCTTACTCTGAGAAAGGTCACTGCGGCCAACAAGATAGCCTTCATCAAGGTGTAACAATCTACACAATGCAATGCAAGCCGCTGCTAGCATCTAGACATTTAGATTCGGCAGCTCTGCTCGTGAAATGTAGGTTGTACAACACGATATCTGCTTGCTGGTGTGGCTGCTTCGACACTACCAGGCGTAACTCTTGATGGACAGACGCATTTTTGGGTGCTCACTTCTGTTGTGGATCATCTAGCAACCGAGAATGATGCATGTAAATATAAGGAGTTGTTAATACAAGAATGTTTTGTGTTGAATGATAAAATGAATTAAAATTTGTATTTTCAATTCCATACTGAAGTTTTGATGTATTATTTCTACAGAATGTATTTTGGGTGAAACTGGTAAGTTTATTAAGCATGGGGATCCAAACTATATTTAAGACAGGATTTTTAAGATTGCCTTTTAGAAAATATAAGCAATTAGAATTTAGAATTTGAAGACGTAGTTCGTGTTAAACGCATTATGATGATATAATGAATTGAAAAAAATCCATAAAAAGAAAAATAATCACAGTAACGGTGGAAGATGCACGAGGCAGCATTGCATGTGTTCACTGCAGAGAGAAGTCCTCATTCTCATCTGTGGGTGCAAGTTTGTTCATCATAAGTGAATCTCTTCAATCCAGCCAACGTAAATGCAGCCTAAACAATAGCGAGTTCTACCGACGAACCGGTTAAATTCGAGCACTGAGGGCAGTCAAAGTTTAGAGCCCTTGACAACGGCGTGTAGATATAGGGAAAAATATCACACATGCCCCTGAAATTTTCCAAAATATCAAGAATCCTCCTCAATTCTGGACAATAGCAAATCTATCCCTACCTTTTGTGATAATTGCAAAAATGCCCTTCGGAGTGATAACCTATCTAATTCCAGTTTTGTTTTAGTTTGAACTGGGCCCGGAGCGGCACTTTTCTGCACTGCCTGGGCTCCGCACTAAATAAAGGCCTATCTTTACTGAAATTTTCCCTTCTTCACTGCTGGGGCTTTTCACTGCTGAGGCTCGGTGAGCTTTAACGATCACTGGGACGGAACCCAACAAGGGATCAACTCCTTCCGCGACTCACTCTCCCTGTCCCGATCCGGAAGATTGGTGCAAGAGGAAGAGCCGTGGACAGCTGCGACCACGCTGCAGCAGCCTGCGAAATCACAGCCCATCCAGAATCCTCCAACAATCCTCCAACATACGTGCTCTTCCGTCCACACATTTAGACACTGTTTTCGCACCTCTGAACTCTACTCGGTATCGAATCTATCCAGGAGTCCAGTTTCTGCAATCCAACATCTACAAATTAGAGGAAGATGACGCCAATCAAATGCCTATTGGATTTGAGATATTCTTCCCAGCGATGATGGAAGATGCCAAGGCACTGGAACTGGATATACCATACGATGCCACTATCTTGCAACACATCGCGGCTAAAAGAGAGAACAAGATGAAAAAGTGAGCCGTCTTGCTTCACGAACTCCTCACTTTCGAAATGTCATCGCAGAACTATAGTAAATGCCCAGGCAACTATAGAAGCGCTGTTGAATGAGCAAATCTGCTACGACAGCAAAACGTGTTCTCATTTGCATTCAATGAATTAGGAGCATTGATATTTTTTGTGATTGATTTGAGCAGGATTCGTGTAGTGATGGTGCTTGAGTACCCCACCACTTCGCTGCATTCTCTAGAAGGCCTGCATCGGGAAGTGGACTGGAACAATCTCCTCCAGCTACAGTCCGAGAATGGCTCCTTCCTGTATTCACCAGCATCCACTGCATGCACCCTCACGTACACAAACGATGCCAAAATCTTCGACTACTTGAACCAGCTCCTCATCAAGTTTGACCACGCTTTTCCAAATATGTACCCCGTTGATCTCTTCTAGCGTCTGTGGATAGTAGTCCGCCTACAAAGGCTGGGAATATCCCGCTACTTTGAGTGAGAAGTCAGACAGTGCCTGCAATATGTATACCAACATGCCTTCTATCCATGAGAGACTTGAATTGGAGTGTGCCAGTTGACGTCTTCATCTTGTGATGTTCGGACTCAACAATTGAAAATTTGTCTTGAATTTATTCTTTGTCACGACTCTTTCTGCGTGCAGATACTGGAAGGATTGTGGTATTGGCTGGGCCAGAAATTCGACTATGCAGGACGTGGATGACAAGGCGATGGCCTTCCGCCTTCTCCGTCAAGGAAGACTGCTTCAGCCAGTTTTTCAAAGATGGTGAGTCCCTCAGCATCGCCGGCCAGTCTAACCAAGCTGTCACAGGAATGTTCACCCTCACCCGAGCATTGCAAACGCTCTTCCCAGGGGAAACGCTCCTGAAAAAAGGCCAGAATCTTTTCCAGAAGCTTTTTGAAAACTAAGCATGAAAACAATGAATGCTTCGATAAGTGGATACTCACAAAGGATCTAGCGGGCGAGATGGAGTACAATCTCACATTCCCCTGGTACGCTAGCCTTTCTCGTCTTGAGCATGGCACCTACATGGACCAATATGGTACTGATGATATCTGGATCGACATGTCGCTTTGTCGAATCCCGGCCGTCACCAACAAAGTGTTTCTCAAATTGGCTAAAGCCGACTTCAACAAGTGCCAAGTTCTTTACAAGAGGAAGCTCAAGCATGTCATCAAATGGAATGCTAGCTGCCAATTTAAAAACCTCGACTATGCTAGACAGAAATCCGAGGAGTGCTACTTCGCAGGCGCTGCAATAATGTTTGAGCCCGAAATGGTGCAGACGAGGCTCGCTTGGGCACGCTGTTGCGTGCTCACCACCGTTCTAGACGACTACTTCGACGTTGGTACATCCGTGGAAGAGCTTCGGGTTTTTATGCAGGCCGTGAGGACGTGGAATCCCAAGCTCATCAACGGGTTTGTCCCACCCTGACTTGGAGCACTTTGCAGCGAAGGTTTTTTCTGGATGGGCTGTGAGTTCGCAAGCTGCTGTTGCCTGGTCACAACTGTCCACGGCTCTCCCTCTTCCACCAATCTTCCGGATCGGGACAGGGAGAGTGAGTCGCGGAAGGAGTTGGTCCCTTGTTGGATTCCGTCCCAGTGATCGTTAGTGCTCACCGAGCCTCAGCAGCGAAGAGCCCCAGCAGTGAAGAAGGGAAAATTTCAGTAAAGGTAGGCCTTTATTTAGTGCGGAGCCCAGGCAGTGTAGAAAAGTGCCGCTCCGGGCCAAGTTCAAACTAAAACAAAACTGGAATTAGTAGGTTATCACTCCGAAGAGCATTTTTGCAATTATCACAAAAGGTAGGGATAGATTTGCTATTATCAACAATTGAGGGGTATTCTAGATATTTTGGGAAATTTCAGGGGCATGTGTGATATTTTATGCGTAGCGAAATGACTGTTGCAGAGATTTCTTTTTTTCGTTTTCTGGACCATGCACATAAATGTAGCGGCGGCCAGGGTTGACGATGACATCGAGTGTAGCGGAGGGAATGGAGCACGATCGCATCTACAGACGCGGAGGGAGATGGAGGGATGCGTGCATGCAGTGTCCAGATACAATGGTCGACGCAGCAGCTGCCACTGTTTCGCCAATCTTAGAAACACTCTCTGTCGGTGGAGCTAATCTAAATACAGAGTGGGGTTCTGCAAGGTGTAAGGATCCATCGTCGCCACTCTCTCGGATGCTAGTGACAACTTTGACCAGACCCTCGCTGACCGGATGAAATGGCTCACACTGGGTTACAGTAAAGAAGTCATTTCCTTCTTTGAGATCAATAAGAAATTTAATTTGTTAAATCTAAATTGTCTACATACAAAAATCACTTAACAAGGACCATTTGGTACAAATCCTTTTAAATATAGAAAGTAATTCTTGTGCAAAGATGGTTTGTTTCCACAACAAATCTTTTTGTGGAAATTTTTAAGTGTTAGAAATTTGTTTATATTTTAGTAATATAACTCAATTTCAAATAAGTATAGTTTTTATAGATTTCTTAAATTTGTATGAAATAATTTCATGTTAATTTGGTATGCCAGAAAAATAACAAATATTAATATTAAGATTATATTGTCTATTCTATTTGTTTGCAACTATTGTTTTGTTCCAAATGAGCAAAAAAAACATTGCCTCTTTGTATATATAAGATCAACACCAAACATCTTATTGGTTAAAAGAAACAATTAGATTCAAGATTGTATTTCTTCCAATAGTATTCAAGTAAAATTGTACATAGTTTTATTAACTATAAATTTGACTATTCTTGTTGTATATGTCATTAATTCAATGCTTGTGGACAAATGATATATTAGAATTAAAACTAAGTTAAATCATTTTTTCTAAGAAAAAAAAAACTTCTAAATATTTTAGTTATTTCTTTTAAAACTACTCATACAATTTACCAAGATCCTTCTACTTAATTATTTCAATATATTAAAAATAATATGTTCTTAATTACAAGATTTTTTTTATAATAATACGGTTTTCTTAATTGAATTTAATTTGATATAATTTAATCTTGATATCCTTACTTAAAATAAACTACATATGTTTTATAACACCCTCATATTAATAATTTTTATATATGTTTCTCTTATATAAAGTGGTATCATAATTTTAGAAGGTGAAAGATAAGAATATTTTAAAAAAATATCTTTGAAATGTATATTATATGCATGTTTATGTTCATCTAACAAGATAAGATGATGAAATTTAATAAATGAGTCTTTTATTATTAAGAGTATAAGTCCTATTAATATATCTTTATTGGCAAAACTATTAAAATTTTAGTTTTAAGTTATCTAATTACAAAACTATAAAGATTATAGAGTCTTTTTTATTATTAAAGTATTTATTAGAATGTAGAAGTACTTATAAGTTATAAAAGTCTTATTAAAAAAATAAAATCAAAAATAAAATCTTAATAAGTCTTGGGGGCAATTGCCTTAGTTAATTTGATAAACTTACTTAATATTAAGGATTGATGTTTAGTTATTCAAATCAATGCTTACATTGATTTTTTTATCTATGCGTATCACTTATTCAAAAAAAAAACTATAATTGTTAGTTAATAGTTAGGAGAAGTATAAAAAAGAACCATATTCTTTTTAATTATTTATATAAAAAATATAATTTATTATTTATTTAAGTTAATTTTATTAAATTAAAAAAAATAAGGTAAAAAAATAGCTTCAAATTGATATTAGAATTATAAAAATAATGTAGAAATTTTTAGAATTTATTCAAAAAAAAATAAGAATTTTTAGAACAATTTTCAAGACTTTGGTAAAATTGAGTTTTATCACCTTGGGGCCATT